AGGGCATTGTGTATTCTTTGGAAGAGGCTGTCATAATGACTGGGATTTTGACCGATGAAGCTGAGCAAGAAAAGGTAACCTAACTTTATTATTCTTGTTAAGTAAAAGGGGGCACAGGAGACAGAATGACAAAATTGTCTTTCATATGTTGAAAAAGCAAGTTGTTTCTTCTAAAAACTAGAGAGTCCACTTATACTGTTAGTGCATATTTCTGTATTGTAAAGAGTCTCCCCCAAGAGCAGTGTTTCTCAAATTTGGCAACTTTAAGATGTGTGGACTTCAGTTCCCAGAATTCCTCAACCACTGTGGTTAGCTAGGAAGTCCACACATCTTGAAGTTTCCAAGTTTGAAAAAATTGCCCTAAAATTGTTTTCTATTGTTCCATGCAGAATAATTCCAAAGATCCTTTATTATTATTATTATTATTATTATTATTATTATTATTATTATTATTATTATTATTATTATTATTATTATTATTATTATTATTATTTGAATTTATATACCGCCCTATCTCCCTTACGGGACTCAGGGCGGTGAACAGGCGATAATAAAAACCATGATAAATATAGGCAGTTCTAAAATCAAATTAAATAACGGGCCTGTTCTAAAAACACACCCATACAAAAAACCCCACTAAAACATAATCAAACTACGCCAGGCCGGCCACACGGAATAGATGGGCCTTCAGGGCTCGGCGAAAAAGGCGCAGGTCCGCAACTGTACGTAGGTTGGGGGGTAGATCATTCCAGAGGGCAGGAGCTGCCACAGAGAAGGCTCTCCCCCTGGGGGTCGCCAGCCGGCATTGTCTGGCCGACGGCACTCTAAGGAGGCCCTCTCTGTGGGAGCGGACTGGTCGAAGGGAGGTGTTTGGTAGGAGGTGGTCTTGCAAATAACTAGGTCCATTGCCATGGAGCGCTTTAAAGGTTGTTACTAACACCTTGAAGCGCACCCGGAAGGCCACAGGCAGCCAGTGCAGCTCGCGCAGGAGAGGTGTTACATGGGAGTATCTAGAGGCCCCCAGGATCCCCCGCGCGGCCGCATTCTGAACTAGCTGGAGCCTCCAGGTGCACCTCAAGGGGAGCTCCATGTAGAGAGCGTTGCAATAGTCCAGGCGGGAAACAACGAGGGCTTGAGTGACCGTGCGTAGAGCGTCATGATCCAGAAAGGGGCGCAACTGGCGTATCAGGCGAACCTTTAGGACTGGGGCATTGCTCTATTGCTCTTAAACTGTCTGTGAAGTAACTAGATCTAATTTCTCAAGCAAGTCAACTTCTATGCTGACAGGGAGACAATAGAAGTGCCTGTCAGAAAAATTGGAAAAATCTAAGCTAAACAAATTAAAACATTCTTAGTTCTCTGCAAATTAAAATTACGATTCCTGCTAAAGACAGTTGAATTACAATTTGGGAGGAAAGGCTCAACCAAGGTTGCTTATAATGAATAGAAGGGTGTCTGGTGTATGCATTCTTTTGGGTGAGGTACATTTAATGTAAATGTATTGGCATCCACAATAACAATCATTTGTGGAAATGATATACTGCCAATATTATTCCTACACAAAATGCATTGTATTTTTGGTGCTTTAGTTCAATAGTAGTAGAAAGTTGCCTCATGTTTAAATCAGATCTTTAATTAAACTATAACTTGGTAAGACTAGATCATTTGGCAAAATTATATTTTTTATTATCTTCCTGTTCTTTTACATTAAGGTCAATAGAATTGGGGCATACTACAAGCCATGGTTTTTTAAACATGTGGAAAATTATTTGAAAGCTAATAGCACAGGAACAGAATATATTCCAGCAAGAGATTATTATCATAGGCATACAAGGAGCATTTTCTGGGAGCTCCAGGTAAGGATCTACTTGTAATTTACTATACTGTGGATACTTAAAACCAGTTTTTCTGTCAACCTATCCTATGGATAGCCCCTATTTTAATTGTTAATTCACTCTTTATATGGCACCCATCTTAATCAACTAACTCTGGGTAGCTGACAAGACTTTAAGAAACAAAAACATACAGTACATATAAAAACAGTAAAAATAAAAGCACTGGAAAAGACTAGGTGAAGCAGCATTGTCATTTCACTTCACTCTGATCCAAGTGAGGGGACCAAGCTGCTTTGCAAAATAGTTTTCCGCAAGTGCTTTCTTTGAAGCAAAATGCTTTGAATATATTTAATGCCTAATACCTCTCTTTTTCCTCTTCCAAGACAAAAGGCAAACCTAAATTAAATGTCATGTGTTAGTTAGCTAAGTTGTTTGGTCATTCAAGCTAGTAAATAGTTCACAGCCAAAAGGACAAAGAGAAAGAATTAGTATCTGTGATAGTGGATTTAATAGTCCTTTTGTGGATAAGGCCTATCTATTATCTTTTCATCTAGACCAGAGATAGGCAACCTTGGCTCTTTTATGACTCGTGGACTTCAACTCCCAGAATTCCTGAGCCAGCAGGGAGTTGAAGTCCACGAGTCATAAAAGAGCCAAGGTTGCCTACCCCTGATTTCTAGACCTACTGTTAATCAAGAATCTGGGGTACCAGTTCCTGAAGATTTTTAAAACAAATGTTAGTATCCTTTTAAAGGGTTGGTCCTTATACCACCCAATTAGCCATTAAAGTTTTTCCTTAAATCTTAATATTCCAATCTAGTATATCTTGACAAATATATAAATCGATAATTCACATTTCTAAGGTTACTCACCAGCATTAGCAGAATAGCATATAGAAATAAAAACAGAGGCATAAAACAACGAGCACAAACAGGGGGAAAAAGAGATGGTTTTCCAGATAGAACAAAAGGTAAATTAACAAGGGACTTCACATCTCATCCTGCTCAGTTCCTAAAGAGAGCGCTAGGCCTTCAACCCACATTTAGTCAATAGTGAATTTTTAAAAAATACTGAATAAAGTTGTTGATGTATGTAATTACACTAATTTTAAATCTTCCCTTTTCTTACTATTAGCATTGTTTCCCTTACAGGACATCATCCCGTTTGGCAATCATCCAATTTTTCGCTATCTCTTTGGCTGGATGGTTCCTCCTAAAATCTCTCTTTTAAAATTGACTCAAGGCGAATCCATGAGAAAGCTCTATGAGCAGCACCACGTGATACAAGACATGATGATCCCCATGAAGAGCCTTGAACAATGTATTCAAACCTTCCACAGTGTCATTAAAGTAAGACCATATTTCCTAAATCCAAGACGGGTCATTGGAGCAGGAAAAAGATTGGTTTCTTATTTAATACCTGAAGAACATTTCTCTAAAACCCAGAAATGTAAAACAAATAAATAAGTAATGCTTAAGGTAACCCCATGTACCAATGGTAGGATTCAAAAAGGACCCAAGTAGCTTCCATAAAACTAATAGAATACTGTAGCAATAGTACTTAGATTTATATACCTCTTCATTGTGCTTTACAGCCCTCTCTAAGCAGTTTACTGAGTCAGCATATTGCCCCCAATAATCTGCTTCTCGTTTTACCAAACTTAGAAAGATGGAAGGCTTCAACCTTGAGCCGGTGATGATCGAACTCCTGAGAGTGGGCAGAGTTATCCTGCAATACTGCAGGCTAACCATGGCTCCTAGTGCATCTTTTTCCTCTTCTTTCCTCTAGGTCTATCCTCTGTGGCTGTGTCCATTCATCTTGCCCCACAATCCTGGAATGGTTCATCCAAAAGGAGATGAAGAGGAGCTCTATGTAGATGTGGGAGCCTATGGAATGCCCCAGACAAAACACTTTGAAGCCATGGCGTCCACCAGACAATTAGAAAAGTTTGTAAGGAACGTTCATGGGTAAGGATTTAAACCCGGGAAAAGAGTTATTTCTAGTGGTACAAGAGCTCTCTAGCAATTGGATTCCTAATTACCTATGAGTACACCCCATTCTTTTGCTATTCTGTACAGTAGTTCAATTTTGGCTCTGCAGCACCCTTGTTGGGACACCCAACTGAATTGAAAGGGTTGGTTAGTTTGCTAGAACAAAATTCTGACCAAGAGGCTTGCCCTGTTTTGCAGGCAAAGATCATTGTCATCTTTTAATGGGACAACTCTAAGATGTTTCTCGTTTCCTTTAGTTTTCAGATGTTACATGCAATCTGTGCACAGCAGGTCCAAATGAAGTCAGAGATGCTGACACAAACTTGTAGTTTTATATAATAAATATTTAACATCTATATTTACAGCAGACAAGATAGTCAGGCACATCACTATATCGTGAGGCAAACTGTCAGGTAAATCAAAGAACAGCAGCATACAGAGCCCAGAGACGCAAAAGGCGGGGGAAAAGGGAAACTCCCCCTTTACATCCAGCATCCAATCATAATGTAGATTTTCTCATGCAGGAGCCTGCACTCTCCAACCAATCAACTACAACTGTGTGTTCTGGCCCATTATACACTTTACTGTTCCAGCTGTTAAATTAAATATCTTAACAGTCACCTTCTAAAGCCACAACTCTTAAGATCTTTCTCATTTCCTTTAGTTTCCAGATGTTATATGCAGACTGCTATATGACCCGCGAGGAATTCTGGGAAATGTTTGATGGCTCCCTCTATCACAAACTGAGACAAGAGCTTCAGTGTAACAAGGCTTTTCCTGAAGTATATGATAAAGTCTGCAAAGCTGCAAGACATTAAATCCAACTCGTCCATGAAGCAACTGGGAAAATTTGGGTCTAAATAAAAACTATCTCTTCTCTTTTCCAAAACCCCCTTGTTTCTACTTCAGAGGCTCCATTCCAAATGTGAAATTTAGAAGAAATACTTCTGCCTTTGTATGAAATATATAACTGGTAGTATTTGTCTTAAAAAGGTGTATGCTTCTTTATCTTCTTTCTAGGAATTTCCATTTTTGACCACTGTGGTTTAATGATAGCTTAGGTATAGATTGATATATTTAGTAGAAGGAGGAAGAGCAAGTTCAGAACTTTAAAATAGAAGAATAACCTATTATAGATAAATGAATGGGAGATGTATGCAAGGTCTGCTGTTACAGATGTACCATAGGCTCTTTCTGAGAGTTGTGCCAAATAAGACTGCCTTTCTAATGTCACAGTTGCCTATATCAGATAGGTTTCTTTTCCCAGGGTTGAAAAGTCATAATTTGCAATAAAATCATAATTATAACCTGTCTGAACACTTTGAATACTATGGATTGGAGACTATTTTTTGAATTAGTGCACGTTCTTCACGATTCCCTCTCTCTGTCTTTCTCGTTTTGTTGACATTTTTTCTTTGACAGTTTTCATCAATGTTTATGTGCTGCAGGAAAAAAAAAAGAGACTGTTACAGACATGTCCCCAGGAATAAGACAATTTAAAAAGTATTTCCCCCCCCCCTTGTTTATAAACGTTACTGCTTTTCTTGCCTTCTCCCTGTGGTCTTCTAGTGATCTGTCTCTTGGATTATGGACGCTGGCTGAACAGTTTTATAATGTATTTGTCCAAAGTACAAATTTGTACTTCTGTTTTAATAGCAAAGAGGGCTGTCAGTAATCTGATATAAATAGCAAAGTTTTTATATTCATTATTGCGTCTACCTATTTTATTCTTACTTTGTTCATGAAATTCAATTGAGCCCCAAATTTTTGTTGCTAAGTGAGGCAGTTGTTAAGTGGCTTTTCCCCCTTTTACAACCTTTCTTGCTACTGTTGTGAATCACTGCAGTTGTTAAATTAGTAACCTGGTTGTAAAGTGACTTTGTTTCTCAGAAGGTCGCAAAAAGTGATCACATGACCCCGGGACATGGCAACCATCATAAATATGAACTAGTTGCCAAGCATCCAAAGTTTGATCACATGACCATGAGGATGCTGCAACAGTTGTAAGTGTGAAAAACAGTCACTTTTTTTTCATTGCCTTTGTAACTTTCAATTAAAGGAATTATTGAAAGTCGAGGACTACCTGTACATGATGGTGGAGATTTATATGGTAGATGATTAATAACATTAATTAATAACATTATATAGAAGTATTCCTCCCCACTCCTCTTTCCATTGTTACTGTTATCATAGGATTTGTCATGGTTTTCTTCTACTGAGATTGTTTAGTGCCTTAAATTACCTGAGAAAAACCTGGATTGTTTTAGGCCTTCTTATTTTCAGGAATACATTAGATGTGAGAAATGCTTTAGAAAACTACTTGGAAGGTGGATCTCTTTAACCTCTTCCCACCTAACACTTAACTTTGCTTGTAAAGATAGCGTTGCTGCGAGCTTTCACCATCAGATAAATGCACACTACTGCTATATCAATTTTTATAATTATCTGGATGTTGTTGATAATCGAAACACTTGAAACAATGCTGCTTGGAATAGATAATAGTATTCTGAGTTTTGTCCCATATTGTGGCCTGGACTTTGGAATACTTCCAACTCTTATTTCGTACTTGAGATAGTTTACACTCAAACGTTTTTGCATATCATTCCTCTGCTTTTTAACTGGAGTGACAATGGATAAGCTAGAAAAGTATCTCCTGCGTGAATATAGTAAGTTTAATATTAAAGCAAATAGGTCATTGGCTAGCCCTAAGAACAGTTGATGATTAAATGACTTTAAAGGATTTTTATTTGAGTTTTGTATATATTTTAATGTCAATATTAACCAAAATTGGATCCAAGGACCAAGATGCGCAAGTCTAGCAAAGAATTAATTATTTGTAGTTAACACTTTGATGTTATCTATAGTATCTGAACATCTGAACTGTCTATGGAGTTTTAAACAGTTGTTGATATTTAATGGAGAGATTGGTTTAGAGTGAACCAGATATGTGGACTTCAGCTATGCTGATGAATCTGGGAGTTGAAGTCCACAAGTCTTAAAGTTGCCAGATTTGGAGGCTCCTGTTTTAAATTACCGTATATACTCGAGTATAAGCCGAGTTTTTCAGCCCATTTTTTGAGCTGAAAAATGCCCCCCTCGGCTTATACTCGAGTCAATATTTTTCCCCAGTTCTTTATGGACTTACAATATCCGGGCACCGTTTAAAGAGACGCCGAAGGCAGACGGTGCCCAACTGCGCGCCTTTCCCCCTTGGCGGGGTGGTCTTTTGCAAAGTCTTTTGCTCGGATATTGTAAGTCCACAGCAGTGCGGGCGGCAGCAGCAGCGGCGCCGTCTCCCGCTCCGAATCCCAGGCTGGAGTCAAGCCCTTTTCAAAAGCGCCGGCTCGGGAGCG